CATGCTTGTACTCAATAATGTACACAGGCACACAGACACATATATAGCCTGAGTAACAAAATAAACAGGACTCCTGCACTGTTGTCACAGTACCTCTGCACCCTTGTCACCAGTCTATTATAAGGTTTCCTTCCATAACTGCATGATATTTATGGGTGAATATCTTGGAGATAGGGACTGCCTCTTTTGAATTAATATAAAATACCCATTGCAGCTGTTATAATTAACAAGATATGACCCTGCAGAGTACAATGATGTGGATATCTGTACAAAATAATAGAGATGGATTTTTAAAAAAATAGTAATATTTGAAGTGTAAAAATAATTCAATGACATAAATGGATATTTCTCTCTCTCGTTCTTAATAAAGCAATTATATTACTTATGGAAAGCATAAAATATGTTAGAATATGGATTTTGTCATTGAAAACATGCACAAATATTTAACTCTGAAGGCATCAGGGGAGACTTAGATTTCAGCAGATGCTCAAGCACAGAAGTAAATCAGAATAAATCATCTCACTCCAGCCACCCTCTTGTCCTCTTCACCTATACAAAGGGAAACCTACAATCAAAACAGTCTAAGCTCTTTTTACATCATGTGTTATTGGGATTTTCATTGTCTTGACAAGACTGCTGGGTTAGAGTAGGGCTCTGTTGTTCTTACTGCTGTCATCTACACAGCCCATCATCATCATGTGTGTTGGCATTTTGCACAGACTTGTGCTATTTGTTGGGGAGACAGGAATGAGGAAGGGAAAATACTCTCCCAATGTTTGCTGTGACTACCTTTTGCAGTATCACATAGCTTAGCTTCTGTTCATCCAAAGCTTGGGGAAGAAAGCAAAAGCACAGTTCACACAAAGGAATATGTTGTGCTGAGCATGAACCAGTCAGCTAGAAGGGAAAGGACTGAGCCTCAAAAGTGAGCAAGCAAAAATGGATGTAGCCTTTTGTTATTCCTCTCCCTCAGAACACTTGACAATAATCACAAAATAGAATAGAATGGTAGAATAGTTTGTGTTGGAAGAGGTACTTAAAGGTCACCTAGTCCAGCCCATCTGCAATGAGCAGGGACATCTTTAACTAGATCAGATTATATGCAATCTCCTGAAGAGATTCAGTAGCTGAGGTGATTCAGTATCTCGCAGCATCAAGCCCTCGGTCCTTCACCCAGATGTGGTCTCCTGCACAAAGCATATATCTTCCTCTACCAGCTTTTTCCCTTCAAACAATCACAGTTGTTGAAATCAATATGAGGATGACAGATCAGAGGGTATAACTCTGTCATGAAGAAAAAACTGAATACAGTTGGATAAAAGAGAAGCCCTGTAGAAGGGTTTGTGTGCCTGAAATCTTTCCTTCTTTCTTTCCTTCCCCACCCTCCCCGCCCCTCAAAAATCTATCAGTTGCTATGTAAAAGATATACCCTCTTCATCTAAATATTTTACTGTTTGTGCCTTTGGACTGCTGTGGCTGTAACAGCACAATGACCACCATTTACAGTCATCTCTAACACAGTATCTTATGGCAACAGATGACATCAGACCAAACCATGTCATCACTTCCCTGTGTGAATAAACAGTTGTCCTAAACCAGGCCCATTTCACATGGTATTCAGATCACAAACTTGCTCAGGCAATCTGCTGGATGATCCTGCCAGTTATCTCACCTTCTGCCTCTTCTCATTTTCCTTTTCCTAGCATTGCAGTAGGACCAATGATATGAGTAAATAGTTGGGGAGCAACGGCCACAGTGTTTCCCCTTTTATGTAAGCTGGTGGGCACATTACTTGGCAGTGGATATGTGGGGAGGCTCATCTGTTCAGCTGATGACATCTTATGTATCCTGGCTTCAGACACTAGTCTGTACAGTTTTCTAAAGCAAGTAAAAACTGCTTAGAGGAACAGGGATCTCCAAGTTGAAGGAATTATTTCTATTATCTTTTTGAGTTCATTCTCTTCTGCTTCTTCAGCTGGGGTCTGTTAGCTTTCCAACTCTCAAATACCCTGTCACTACAAGATCAGTTCAATAGTTGAACAAAGACGGACTTTGCCAACAGCACCTACAGCAGCGTTGGGTTGACAGGAAAAAACGAGCTGGGTGTTGCCACTGCTTTTCAGCATAACTTAAAACAAGCTTTGTTTTTTCCTCATTGAGCTGCACTTCACAAAATCATTTCTCTACTGTAATGCATGATCAGAATACACCTAAAGTGTGTGTGTTTGGCAAGAAACCTAACCCTTCATCTTCCTGTGTGGTTGCACTTATCCTTGCCTTTCCCTTTCCAGCAGCCTTCGTTTTTTTTTACTGTCATCCCTTTTTATATTTTACCACTTGGTGTAAAGTCCAGGACTTCATCCACCTTCTCTCCAAGGTGGGGTTTGTGGTGGGAGACCCGTGCCTTCAAAACTGCGCTCAGTTTGTGACAGACATAGCTTCATCTAGAAAGCACCACAGAATGCTCTGTTGGGAAGTAATTCTATGCAAGAGATTTTACCTTCTTGTAGCTTGCAACTTGTTCTCCATGTTTCTGGGAAGCAGATGACTTAGACTTGTTGTTTTCTTTTACTTTTAACCCACACCTAGCCTACCAGAAATTGTTTTGTTTAAGATCAAGTTGTATAGGCATGACATTTTAAAATATTTTAGGCTATAAACAACATTCTACTAAATAATAATGAGAAGTGTTTCAGCAAATTTTTGTTGGGGTAGAAGCAGCTGCAGGGTAACAGGTTTTTGGATTAAAGGAATAATTATTTATCTGGCATAAATTGTGCACATACTGGCTTAACCTGGCAAGAAAATAAACTTTAATGTGACACTGATTTCCATACAGTCTCACTCAGTTTAAAATGTACAGACTTATTGAAGTAAATAAATATGTACACATTGCTACTGTTTTCTCAACACGTATATATGTACACATGCGTGCCTGTATCATGTGGCAGGAGATGCCAAACAAACAAATCTACTCAGTGTTAACACTCTTCACAAATGTACCTGACAGATCAGAAGTTTGAAAACATTGATGGAAAATATTTATAGGTTTCTGGAAAATATTTATAGCCCTGCCTCAGATATGAAAAAACCTCAGAACAACAACAAAAAACAACACACACAAACCAAGCCCAAACATCAAAATAACAAACCCCAAAAAATATTTCAGGCATGTGGCACCAGATTTCTGTATTTGAGCATATGAGCTCACAAATTGTAGCTCTAGGCTGCACGAAAATGTGCATAAGTGCCCTTGATGTGTGTATATGTTTAATGATGCCCAATTTGTCAGTATGTTCTGTCTGAGAAGTGGACACTAATACCCATCCTGTAGTGTAATTAGAAAAGACCTAAAATACCCTGCTGTACTCAGCCAGGATCTCACCCATCTGGGATTTATACTAAGAGATGTTCTTTTCTGGTTTTGCTGTCAGTACAAATGTTTAAATATACCTTCAAGAGCTGAAATATTTGGAAAGAAGTTCTGTTTGCTTTATGTAAGCAAGCAATATTCTGCCTTTAATGAAGTTTCATCCTTCAGTTATATTCCTCTGTCTCTGCTAAAACTGGAACATGCACAGCCACTGTCATTTTAAGGATTACCTGCGAGGAAAATAAAGGTGTCAGGATTTTGCCTAAATTGAGCTCTTTTTCTCTATTCCGTTCCATCCCATCTCATCCCATTCCATTCCATTCCATTTTTTCTATTCTATTTCTATCCTATCCTTTCCTCATTACAGAATTTAGATTGCAAGCTAAAATTTTTAAGCATAGTAAAATGAGCTCTTGCAGTGTAAAAAGATGAGGGTGTTCACAGGAAAGAAGAAATTACCAAGGTAGTTTAAAAATACAATACATTTATTTGAAACTTGAATGATATGCACAGATTCTTCTGCTGTAAGAAGGTCTTTATATCACTGTCCTCACAGGAACCATGAACTTCTTCTAGTAGTGCATTCAGTTATATGATTTTTCATATCACTATTATATGCAGCTCATTCTTTTTTCTCATCTTTCCCCCAGGGAAGAATTGTACATGCAGTGGTAGGAATTATTTCTTCCACAAAATTTTTTATCTTAGTCAGGTTTGAGAAGGCAGGTCAAAGAAAAGTATTCTGCATTTATTGATAAAATATGTGCTAATTCCTAAAGTTATTTATTTATTATTTATTTCCATTAGGAGTGTGTTCTATCCTCTTGGATCAGTTGCAGAGTTTTCTCTCTTGCTCTCTCACATATTTATTAAAGTTAAAAGTTTGGTTTTGCCTGAGGAGTTATTGATCACAGTCTTCATTGAAAGATTTGGTGACCATTCAGCACTTTTAGACCCAAGTTAACTAATCACCACTTTTAAGAAATAAACCATTCCAGAAGTAACCTGAGATAAACTGATGTAGCTCGATAGATTCCAATCATTAATGTCAGCTGAGGATTTGATCTAACTTCAGAGGAGCATATGAGAGTTCAAAGGTGTGGAAAGCAATTCTGGCTGTAAGTATCTGCAAACCTATTGTGTTGTTGTATCTTTGTTACTCTAAACGCAGCTATGGGAGTTAAAGGCAACATCTGTCATTAGAATCAATGTTCTCTATTTTTTACTAGTTTTAAAAATCATGAATGGTACCTGAATCTGATTCAATCTTAAGTTGTTAGTCATACTAGATACGAGAGTCTTTCAGTCACAGTAGGTCATTTAACTGAGCATAAAATCAAATGAGGTAGCCATAATGATCTAATTTAACTGTAAAGCTTACGAGATTTAATAACTCACTGTCCCAAGACTGAAAGTTCAATCCATACATCTTTCTCAAAACAAAGTGATACAATATTAAAAAAACTGCAAAAACCACACCTATTAAAAAAAATAAGTCCCTAAACAACTGCAACAAGAACAAACCCAACCACAAGTAAACAAGAGAATTATTCTTCATTATCAAATTTGTTGAAATATGGAAGATGAAGTTTTCCCCCATTCTAACATTTCTTCTTTTTTTCTGTAGGTGGCACCTGTGTTGTTAACCCCACCGACCTGTTCTGCTCTGTTCCTGGTCGCTTATCTCTACTCAGCTCCACTTCAAAGTACAAAGTGACCATTGCAGAGGTGAAGAGGCGCCTTTCCCCACCAGAATGCCTCAATGCTTCCCTCTTAGGAGGTATTTTGAGAAGGTAAGTTGAAGGTGAGAATGACAAGTCATGGGCAGTGCTGTAATGTCTGTAATTTTATTTTCTGCAAAGAGGTTATGTTCTTCTTTGTCACTTGGGTAGATGCTCACAGGCTGGGAAAACAGAAAGTGGTGGATTGGGAGTGAACATTGTTTTTAGGGAAAATGTCAATAAATGAAAAAAAAAAAAAAAGACTGTGTTAACATTTTTCAGAGAAAATTTACACTTTTCAGTAAACTGATTTTATTTCTTTACCCCTTCAGTTCAGTTGCCTACCAGAGATGGAAAGGTGTTGGTTTTTCTTGTTTCGAATGAAAAAAAGAAGACCCTCAGTGTGTGGAAAATTGTACCAGGGCTACCAATCTGGCTTCTTGTTGAGAAAATATTTTAAAGTACCTTTTTTTTACCAAATGTAGTTACAACCCTCACTCGTCAAAAATCTTAAAACATGGAGGTGTAGAGATGCCTTTTTCTCTCCTTCTCCCTTGCATTCCTTTTGATTACAGAAAAAAACAGACTTAGCAGAATATACTGAGTTTATTTTTCTCATTGTGAGATACCGGAGGAGAAGCAAGTAGCTAGGTACAATTTTGCTTCTGTTTCAACCCTGACCAGAGTAGATACCTGAGCAGTGGCAGAGAGGAGGGAAGTGGCAGACTGAGTCTAACACTGCAAGTGGAAAGCAAGGCAACTGTAAGTCAGCCAGGCATATATGAATAGCAATGTCCTTCAGTCATCAACTTAGATGGCAGAAGCTACTTAATGCCCTTTGATCAAAACTAGCTGGAAATCCAGAATCTACAACCACAAAACTTTTCCTCTGTTACAGAAATATCCACTTTAAATTCTCATTCCACAGACTACCTCAATACCAGTGCAAGCTATTAAGAGTGCAAGGGCATCAGCCCAAACACCGGGATTCATTTCTCTCTTTGGTTAATATGCTATAATGAGCCCTTTAAGTTTTTGATCCAGACCAAATATCACTCTTCCAAATCAAATCTGGGCATGGTTCAGGAGTTAGCAAAAGCCAAGGACTACTCCCAGACAACAGTTTGGATGCACTAATTCTGTTTTACGAAGCAGAGAATGCAACAACTAGAAAGTAGACTCAAGCATTGTGTATCTGACCAACAGAGATGTAGCAAAACCAAAGCTCATTCATGGCTTGCCTGAGACCAGACAGGGTTGGTTTTGCATCTTGTCAGCAGTCAATTAGTTATTTTCCCAACTAGCTTTTCTTCAGAATAAAGTGCTATCAGAAGACTTTTCCTGACCTACAATATGGTCAAAGTATCTCCTGCTGCATACAAATTACTGTCCAATGGTGGTATTCCATATTTGGTTCCTTCTTCTGCCAGAATTAATTTGAATTTGCACCTCAAAACATGTAGTTAGGCATGCTGCATACTCAATGATTGGTTATTCTAAGCTGAAGGCCCCTCAATCTCATTTGGGGCTAATAAAATATTGGACAAAAGCAAATGTGTAACAGTAGTGATGATTCTATTAACTAATGACAAGGTCATTGATTTGATATGTGAGAAATCTGGGGTTCAGTCACTGCTCTGTTCAAGGCTTAAGCATTTTAACATTCGTTATTCACTGCCAGATGTCTACTGCACTTGTCTAAAAGACACAGGTTAAAATTCCCTGAGGCTGAGCAAGAAATTGAACCTATGTGTGCTGCATAAGTGGATATGTCTCAAAGGTTGAGGTACTGCAGCAAAGTAGTTGTGGTGTGCACCAGAAACCATTCTGTGAGAACAAAGTGTTTTGGGATTTGAGATAGGGGCATAGAAAACAAATGATGGCTGGGATTTTATCTTCAACAGTTCCTATTGCCTTACCCTTTCTCTTTGTAAGTACTGGGCTTTGTAGAATACATCTCTAAGTACCCAGGTCTCTACATAAATTACAGAAGGCGAGCTGAACCTGGGTTCCACATAGACATCTACATTTCAGTGGCCATCTGGCTTCCTTTTCTAGCCAGGTGAGAGAGATGGGAAAAGCCCCTTCATTATAGTCATTATTTTAGTGTCATTCTAGATGTGCATGTTTACCTCTCAATTTACTTGAGAGCCTGGAGTTGATGAGTCAGATATAAGTGACTGCACTGTCAATATTTACATTCAATCACTGTAATCCCAGGTTTGGTGTCCAAATCAGAACCACAAGTTCCACTAGATGGAAGACTGTCCTGAAGATCTAATACCCCTGTGACAGGCATTTAGGTTACATATTAGGAGGAAATTCTTCACTATGAGGGTGGTGAGACACTGGCCCAGGTTGCCCAGAGAAGATGTGGCTGCCCCATCCTCGAAGTGTTAAAGGCCAGGTTGGATGGGGCTTGGAGCAACCTGGGCTGATGGGAGGTGTCCCTGCCCATGCAGGGGGGTTGGAACTAGATGATCTCTAAGGTCCCTTCCAACCCAAACCATTCAGAGATTTGATGAGTCTATTATTTACATATTGAGCTGTCAAGGAACCAACATTAAAGACTCGTACAGGGTGAGCAGAACACTAAGAATACAGCTCTGAAAGATTTCCCATTGGTGTCAATAGTGCAGACGTTACCCCATGTCGCGATCCATGACCTATTATATCTCCTTTTTGGAGTGTATTAAGCTTATCAGGATTTGCTGAGAGATCCACATGTGGATATCGCCTCACACAGAGGAGCCCTTCACACCCCACACATTTGTCAATAAGACATGTACAATTTCTTGACTTATATTAAAATGGGAAAAGAAGTGCAGAATAAAGACAATTTTCTCCTACTATTCTCTCAATGACAGAGCAAAATCCAAGAATGGAGGACGCTGCTTGCGAGAAAAATTAGACAGACTGGGACTGAATTTGCCTGCAGGAAGAAGAAAAGCAGCAAATGTCACACTCTTGACTTCCTTGGTAGAAGGTAGGATTTATAATATTGCAATATAATAGGAACATCATCAAAATATTTCCTTGTATGCAACACCTTTCAGTCACAGTGTTAAATACCATAAACTGTATTTTGTACAAAGAAGAGAACTGAGTTGCCTAAAGCCACAGACAGAACAAGTGGCAAAATTGAAGATGACTCTGAAATTCTGAAATGTCTTGGCTTCCAGCAAGTGGCTTGATCCTGCCTTTTCCTCAGCATTGATCTGTCCTTTCTGTGCTAGGATCTGACTCACAAATCGATGACCCGAGTGTTCTTGTGAGAGAGATTAACATCTCACACCAACTCTATCAATAGATTTGTTTATCTTTTTTTTTTCTTTCTTTCTTTCTTTTTTCACTTGTGAATTTCCTGGATCTGATCCACAAATGCAATGTAGGGGTTTTTTCCCATAAGAAAGCATAATATTTAGACAAGACTTTTCCCCACACACGTAAATGAATGAAATCTGTTTTCAGATAAACTCCAGACAGGCCCAGGAGATACTTTCTTGGCCTTTATTTATTGTTTAAATATCATTCACCAAATACTGTCAGGCTCTTCAAACCTTCAGCTGGGAGATGCAGGTTCAAACCCCTCAGGCAAAGGGAAAAAACTCCACCTGAATCTCTTCTGTTCTGAGTGAATCCACTAAGTACTCAGTTTGTTATCTGGCTGCAAGTAGCAGCTCTGGGAATTTCAGATCCCTCCTCCTTGATGTTGAGAGCACTCAGCTCATCCTAAAGGTCAACACCTTCTCAGCTCATAACCTAAAAAGTTCACACAGATCTTGGCAAGTAGGCTGAGGTCTCAGCACATATTACCACAGAATGACACAATTACAGAAAGGTTGAGGGTGGAAGGGACATCTGGTGATCTTCTAGTCCAACCCTCCTGCTCAAAACAGGATAAATTAGAAGAGGCTCTTCAGGATCTTGTCTAGTCAGGTTTTAAATATCTCAAAGGATGGAGAAACAGAGCTGAATCCACAACAATGAATGTTTTTACCATCTAAGAGGAGGAACTAAGGTTCTTGAGGGCTGCTGAGCACACAGAACTACAATGGGACTGCTCTGAAATACAGGTGAGTCCATATCACACCTGCTTGTAATAAAGAAAAAGCCATAATGGAATTAGTCTTAGAAAAGGGAGTTTTCTCCCAGCTTAGAGGAGTAAGTGCTGTCTCTGTCCTTCATGCATCTTGGGTCTTAGCAGGGAAGAACAAACAGAGCAATGTGGCCAGCTACTAATTCATTAGTAGACATCAAGAGTGAGGAAGCCCTCTTTTCAACTACTGACCTGGGATTAATGGCAAAGTACCTTCATTGCAAGTCAGAATCAGATCCCTTTTTCCCAGGCATGGAGCTGGGCTTTCTTCTCTGTCCTTTCATCAAAGCTAACAGCAAACCTGTTATCAAGCCTATGATGGCGGTTTTGTTCTTGGTCTGCCTTAATATGAGTCTTGAAGATGCACACAGAAGAGTCTGAGCTCACTTTGACAGGGCTCAGGTTGCCTAGACATCCTAATAATGAATTTTATCTGCTTGAAATTTTGGGAAAGCACCACTTTCTCTGTTAACATTACAAAAGAAAACAAACTAAGGTCATTTTCTGTCTCTGTAACCAATCTCAGTCAAACTTGGCAGTGCTTACTGGAATCTTTGTGGTATAAGATGTCTTCCCTTTGTACATGGAAAGATTACTCCCAAGTGGTACTAACTTGTATGGTTTCTGCGAGGAAACATAGAGTTCCTATTGCTGGAGCAGGCAGACATGGAAAGATACAGGCTTATCCTGGGTTTTAGAGCAGAGGAAAACATGAAGAAAACAGCACTGGCTTTTTTCTATGTGATGTCAATACACAACTTACATAATGATCTGTTAGCCTTATTAAATCCCTAAATATCAGGTGCACTGTGTGGACTTCTCATAACAACCAAGGACTCTGTAATTCTTGATTACTTGAGATGGTTCTAAGTTTATTATTAATAAATATCCTCACAGTCTTGAACATATCAGGGCCTTTAGTATATCTGTGAAGTAGAAATGTGCTCAACCTCTTGAACATCTGTTTCAGGTAAAAGGCAAAATTAGTCATATGGTGATTAGGTATATTGACCAGAGTTGCCTTGAAAGACTGTAGCATGTTCTGAGAAGTACTGGTAAGTTCAGCAGAGGAACTACAGCAGATTTCTAGGCTGTGGTGGTCGTGTGAAGATTTAGACTTTAGGAAAATTGCTTTGTGGCTCTTTGTTTTCTGCAAACTCACTTATTTTAAGGTTCATAATGGCTGCTGGGTGTTTTGTTTGGGTTGCATCTTTTTAGTGTCTTTTGTAGGGACTTCTGGAGTAAACTGTTTGACAGATCCGTTCTGGTCTTTATGTTGTCATCCACGTAAATCAGAACAATGGGTGGAGAGACAGGCTGGGGGAGTGAGCTCAGCATTGCAAGACTCCCCACCAGGCTGGGACATCTCTTTGTGCAAGCTGCAGGTGAGGGATGCCCTCTAGTGCCTAGATTAGATGAAGGGAAAGGTCCTTTTTCTCACCAGCTCTAAAAGGATAGCCCCTACAATCTTAGCTAACACAATAAAAGCTCCTCCATTAAATACCAGCATTGCCAATGCTAAGTTTTACTGCTGGCTCAAAGTAGTCAAAAGCCTCCCCAGCAGGAGGAAGAGAAGAGGAGAGATGGCACCATCTGTTTGGATAGGTCACTTAGACAGAAACATAAATGTTATTGCAGATGCAAGTAAAAGCAAAACAAGAATAGATTTCAAGCCATCCAATTATTTACAAAAATCTGAAAAAGCATTTTTAAAAAATAGAGATTTTATTTTCCTGTCAAACCTAAGACACTGAATTCACTAGACATAACATTTACTGCATTCGTCATTTAGAGATCAAAATTCTTGAGAAAAAATAGGCCAGTGGTTACTTTTTTCACCCTGCTATCAAGTGACACAATTCTCCCCCACCAGCCTTTGTTTAAATGTCCTTCCACTTGTTTCTCCTCCCTTCTCATCCTACAAATAGAAAAAACCTTTCCTTCCACCTCCTGCCTGTCCCTCCTCCCCCTGGGTTGGGTAGAGCTTTCAGAGGAGGCAAGACTAAGGAGAGAGTAGGATGTTCAGCTGCTGAGTGTCCCTCTCCTGGGACACAGCTTCTGCTTTCACTCTGCATAGGAACATCTCTCACTCTTGCTAGACCCAGGAGACACCCACACTGCTCCTTGCACCTGCCCACAGAAGCCTGTTAAGGTACACGAGCTGGTTTCTCCACTAAGGCTTTCGAGAGCTGTCTCTGCCAATTCAGCTCCAGCAACTGTTCTCTTCCATCAGGCAAAGCTCTCTGGTCAATTGACAAATTGTATAGGAAAGGCAACGCTGCCTTTAGCTGCAAAGCCCTGTGCTGGATGGAAGGAGAAAGACTCAACAATCCTCAGGACCCATTCCTTGCCCCTGCAGGAGGAAAGACTTAAGGAAATTACATGTAGGGAGATTTGATTTTAGATGGAAACAAAGCAACTGGCTATAAAAGCCAGGGAATTTAGAGGTTTCTACCTTTAGTATGGTGCCTCCCTGACTTCATTAATAACTAGGCAGAACTAGACAAATCTAAAACAAAAGAAAAAAGGTCAATTCATCCATATTTCCACATTTTTCCCCTTGAATAAATGTTCACTCAAGTTATGATGTAGAAAAGGAAAGAGCAGCTTTTACTACATTTTGTACAAACTGCTTTCCCCCACCATGCCAGCTTCATTGCTACTGTGCAGTAATGCAAGGGACTTCTGATCTCTGGGATTAACAATAAAGAGTATGGATAGAAGTATAGCAGAGCACACTTCTATATATTTCATCATTTGGTCCCAGTTCAAAATGAGATCTTTGTTCAATGAGATATAAGAAATCATGTTCCATGTCCAGTTTTCATTTGGGTTTTGGGTTTTTCTTTTAGAATTTGATGTTGTAATTTAGAATGTTAATTTCTTATATCATATGAACATGTGTGCTTATATAAATACATATGCATACTTGTCATGTGCATTCCTCATATAAGTAAGTTTTCCATTTTCAGTTAAAATAAATTTTAAAAATCTAATTTAAAAACCTGTAGATTATTTTTTTTCACAATAGGTGCATTTGCATGTACATTTTACCTAGACCCATCCACAAACAGACAAGCAATTTTACTGTATTTTGCTCAGTATTTTATCTCCTCTTATACCATTAATATTCAATCACAATCCCAGCTCCATTTAAAACAGGCAGGTTTTATATTTTTGTATAATTTTCTCATATCATAAAAACAATTCAGTGTACTTTTTTCAGCCCTAGTAAATAACATACACCATCTTTGGAAAAATAAGTTGTAATGATAATTAATATTTTTATTCTGAAATAGGAATTTTGAAGTGACCCTTGAGAAATTTAGCAGCTGTGGATCAAACTTGTACCTTTTCTTATCCATGAAGAGGTCTGGGATTTTAATACAATACTGGCAGTCAGCTATTTGCCTGTTCATTCTGACTCATTGTTGACCTACCACTGAAACCCATTTTAATTTCACTAACAATTATTTTACTTTTCCAGAAGCTGTAAACTCAGTGGAAAACATTTCTCCTTTCAGCACAGACACAGTGGTTGCTTGTTAAATTCTTACTCTTTTTAGGCACACTGGACAATGTTTTTAAAAAATCCAAATAAATTGATGATTTTGAGTATAATCTTCAATTTTTGCATGTAAAATTGTTTACAGTTGCAATGGTGTCAGCAAAAAAATCTTCTTGCACTAGTGCAGGTACTACATGAGCTGAATCCAATTAGGTTAGATAAACACACAATGACATATTTGCTTGTGGAAATGAGAAATATTTTTCTGGTCGAAACTCCAATGATAGAAAAGGAGACCACAAACTCTGAAAAGGTGGAGAATAGGGGTTGGAATAGAGGTCGGTGCACATGGTCCCTTCTGCCTCCTGCTGCCCCTGGCACAAGAACACTGCTCCTGTGGAAGTTTCTGTCTTCCTTGGCATGGCCAGATCTGTGCAGAGCAGACCCAGTGGTGCTGGGGATGGGATTCATCTCACCAGCTCTATCACTGTTGTGTTTGTCCTCTCACTCTTATTGTAGCCAATAAGGAGAAATCTGCAGTTCTAGATGTTTAACAATTAAATTAAATCAATAAATAAGCATTTTATTAAGTTGCTCAGAATGGCCGTAGAATCTCCCTGTTTGGCAATATTCAAGACTAGGCTTGAAAAGTTCATCAATAGCTTTACCTAAGGCCATGCTTTCAACAGCAGGTGATCTCCTGAGTTCCCTTCTGACCCAGACCTACCTATAATCCCTCTGATCCAGTTTTGCCTTCTGCTTTAGTATGGGATGATACATGCTTCAAGTGCTAGCATGTCTCCAGTGACCTGAAAGTATATGGTCAGATGTCAATATTGACATTTAATCAGAGGAATTCCATTGCAACGTTTTCAAAGTATTACAAGTCCTGCATCCCTCCTAATTGTTCACCTGGGTCCAAAGAGCCAGGGTCTAATATCACCTCCCAGGATAGTAATCAAATACACAGCTCTAAAACTAAAAAAAAAAAAAAAAAGCAATAAAAAACCCACAACACGAACTCCAAAACTATTCTGGAGCACATCTCTCAGTCTCTCATGCAGATGTGCTTCAACATACACTTCTGGTAGCTGACCTATTTCTACTTTCTGCGATGAGATGAGAACAAGCATCATCTGGAAGTGCCTATTGCCCACCAGGGAAAGACTAGCTTAGGCACAGATGTTCACACTCCAGGCAGCTGTGCTTGATCAGATAAATCCCACACCAAGGTTCTCAGAGTCACAGCACACAGGCCAGAGTGCTCAGTAAACCCTAAAATAATTGCATAGAATCATAGAGTTGTTCAGGTTGAAAGGGACCTTTAAAGGCCATCTACTCCAACCCCCTTGCAATGGGCAGGGACATCTTCAACTGGATCAGGCTGCTCAGAGCCCCCTCCAACCTGATCCTGAACGTTTCCAGTGATGGAGTTTCTACCACCTCTCTGGGCAACCTGGGTCAGTCTTTCACCAACCTCATTGAAAAACTTTCTTCCTTATATCTAGTCTAAATCTCCCCTCTTTTAGTTTAAAACCATCATCCCATGTCCTATCACTTCAGGCCTTGCTAAAAAGACTTTTCCCATATTTCTTATAGGAACCCTTTAAGTATTGGAAGGCTTCAATAAGGTCTCCCCAGAACCTTCTCTTCTCTAGGCTGAACAACCCTAACTCAGCCATTCTTCATGGGAAAGGTCCATGTCTTTCTTGTGCTGAAGACTCCAGAGCTGGATGCAGTACACCTGGTTTCTCTAAGCTAGTGGAGAGGTACAGGTTCTTTCAGGGGTATTTGGCACCCCGCATGGACTTGAGTTATGGCATCCAGTCTCTGTAGTGAGTTAGAGAGGTGCTCCGTGCCTGCCTCTGTCACAGACACCTCACAAAGCTTAGTCAAGACATGTATTCCCTTTGCCTTGATTTCCCCACCTATAAAAGAGCAACTGTGATCTTCATTGTCATCTCTTTTTATTTAATCTGGTCAATTTTGACTGCAGTCTTTTTGGAAACAAGATTGTTTCTTGTGCTCTACTTTGGGGTTTGCTCATCTTCATTGTGGGGCACTTGTATCATGCCTGCTGCTTTAACCCCTAAGCAAATATGCTGGAATGTACATTATCCCCACAGCTCTCTCCTGGGATAGAGGATATTTTGTCTTTAGAGTCAGAGAAGTGAATCACCAAAGGCTGAATCTCAGCTCTTTAGGGTGATTTATTCCCATTTTCCAATATCAGTGCTGAACTGGGCTTACAGAACTTGAGCAGCTGCCCAGTACTTACTGGTAACAGAGTGGGGGGAAGTTAAAACCAAGTGTCTTAACTAGTATTTTCAACTGAGAGGAATAACCTCTTATCTTCTGGCAAGGACTGTCTGACAACTAAGCATGAGCAAAATGGGCTGAAAACTGTAACTGAGATTGGGAATGAATATCTACAAAGGTGACTTGTTATTGTATTATTAATTTTTTAAGAGTAAAAGAAATACTGGAAACATAATAATAACCCTGAAAACTAACTGACCCATTTTGTTTGCCCACAGGGGAAGCATTACATTTGGCCAGGGATTTTGGCTACACCTGTGAAACAGAATTCCCTGCCAAGGCGGTAGGAGAGCACATTGCAAGACAGCACATGGAACAGAAAGAGCAGACAGCAAGGAAAAAGATGATCCTAGCGACAAAGTAAGAAGGGAGGGGAAATTAAAGAAGAAATTTGTCTGTCACTTCTCCAGTTTGGATGTGGGAGCTGGGGGAGGGAGGAGTGGGAGTACGGAGCTGGGATTGCTGTGCTTGTTATCACAACAGCGCTTGCTGACAGCAAGTGAGAGCAACCCTCTTTGGAGATGCTGTAAGAGGAACCTTATTTACTGCCATAAGGTTTTAGTGGCTGTGCTCCCATTGCCTGCACTTAAGGAGGCATGTGTATCTTCTCAGATGCTTCAGTTTAGGTGAGAGGACATTATTACATGGTAAGATCTATAGGACAGACACTGACTTTGTCTCCTGTTGGCATGTGAGCAGGAGATCTAAGCTTATACCAAGAGGGATCATATCAATGCCTATAGGTATCTAAAGGATGGTTATCAAGAGGATGGGGCCACACTCTTTACAGTGGTGCCCAGTGACAGGACAGGGGGCAGCAAGCACAAACTGGAACACACGAAATTCCATGTGAGCACAAGGAAAAGCTTCTTTACTTTGAGGTCACAGAACACTGCAACAGGCTTCCCAGAGAGGTTGTGGAATCTCCCCCTCTGAAGATATTAAAAACCTATGATCCTATGCAGCCTGCTCTAGGTGAACCTGCTTTAGCTGGTAGGTTGGACTAGATGATCTCCAGAGGTCCCTTCCAACCCCTACCATTCTGTGATCCTGTGAAGGCCTAGTTGCTGCAGGATAATTATCATTTGTCTACTGAGAGAGAGCTGGTTTGCATAGGAACAGATCCTCTCTGGATGGAAATTGCAGTTCTTCTGAAATTAAAGACACTGGAATGATGTACCCAAGCAGGGGAGCTTTGCTAAAGCCACAAAAGACATGCAGAGACATCTGACTTTGCTCTGAACAAGCCGCTGACCTCCCTGAAGCAGTAACATCATGTCAGGATAACATTTTATCTAGGTTAATTAGCCTTGATGAGAGAGGAATTAGCCTTCATGAGCCATGGGAAGCAGGAATAAATAGTTTGTATGGAACAGCATAGACCTGCACTAGGTGTGTGGTATGTCTTGGAAAAAAATTCTTTTCCTGTGCTCACTACAGTGTTGCACAGTGAGGGAGCAGGAGAGCAGAGGACAGAATCCTGAGCTCTCAAACCATCATCTGCCTCTTTCCACCAGTGCTGAAAATTTTTGGGAATCATCCAGGCTGGGATATATCCAATGCAGTGGAATCACCCTGCAGAAGAGGTACTTCTTCCTGGGGAGAAGGCTGAACAGCCACAGCATTGTTCTTTGTATCCCAGTGTCCTTCTGCTTTGTCTATTTGTGGGCAATAGGATTTCTGGCCTTGGTGTCTTTCTTATATCCAGGGGACTTTGTCCTGAAGGTGACCTAACAACAACATGCATTGAAACATCTCAGGCTTGTGAACATGAATACAGCCTGTGATCCTTCCCTGGGGTGCTAAGCAGAGCACAATGTGGCTCAGGGGACATTTGCTGGTAATGAAGGTGATAAGAGACGTCATATATCAGGCTTCTAAGTCCCTTGTAGATTAAAAGTAGTAATGTAAGTGGAATATGGTCTTATTCTTACCTACATCCACATTTGTTTTAAGGGCCCAAGGGGTTTCAGAGACATGAAAATAAACCAGCTGGCAAGAAGCAGCTCCTCTCCACAAGTTGTGTCTCCCCATGTCTGTATAGCCCATCAACCATCTGCCCTCTGGGACAGATTGTACTTCTGGGAAGTACAACCTAAACAAGAGTTAAGGGTGTAAATTGCTCCAGATGGAGGATTTACCCCATCTATAACATGTTATTAAACCATTATAAAAACTTTCCCCCTTCTTTTCTGGCTGTAAGGAGAGCTTTCATCGCCGTGAGTTGTAGCAATCACTGAGTAACTGTTATGGCCAAAGGTCTCACTGTTCTTCCTCACCACTTAACAACTACTTCTCACCCCCCCTTACTACTGAAGTAACCCTCATGAGCTTTGGGCTCGTAGTCTGTTATCCTGCACTTGTAAGGAGCAAAATGTCTTTTTGCCCCCTTCCATCGGTTAAAACCTCCAGCAAATTGATCAGGGAGGACTGTCAATAACACCAGGGGAAGCCATCTCCTACTTCACTCTGATTTTAACAGGGACAGATGAGTCAATGTGTGTGCTACTACTGCCCTCTCCTGCCTGGAAGGAGAACAGTGCGTTACACATCAGCCCTGACCTGTTACTCCAGGAGTCAGAGGTCCATGACATGGTTTTTCCAGCCATGCTTCCATGCATCTCATAGTAGGGACTCTACTTTAGCCATTTGTCAGGCTTTTCAGTTATTCACCAGGCATACATAACCCCCGGGTTGACAATTTCACAACTGCCCTGTCGGAGGTGCTTGGGAATTATGACACCTGAAAAAGTGATGGATGGCTGTGCTGCCACCAAAAATGACACTGAAATCCCAGGGTAGTAAAATCACTCAATATAAGCTTTGCTTATGGAAAGAAATGGAGTGCCATTGCCTGCATGTTGTCATTGTCTGCTCTGGGAAAGAGCCTGAAGCCTGTAGAATTGTGCCTTTGGTAGAACTAGTGAGATCTTCCACATGTAAGGTGTTGAGGAAAAGTAAGGTTAAAGCTCAAAACTATTTTCTTAATTTTTGGTATACAGATGAAATTCTGTTCTGGACTCAGAGAACCAGCTTCAGTGGCTTGCTTTAGTTGCCCAAACATAGGCACCTGCTGCCATTTGAGATGAACTGGGTTATCCAGCTTGGTCACCTGCTGCTGCTCCAGAAGCACACAGGTCTCTTTTTGTTACTGTGTTGTATCTGCCAGTCATTATAGATGTCTTGGGTATTACAAATCTATGTGTGGGTAATTAAATAGAGGCTGTAATGTCTACAGTGTAGAAGTCCCTGGTGTTCAGTAGAAGCTACCAGTGCTATCAAGGACATCTACACCTTATAATCAAGCAATCTGCCCACCTGGATGGAAGCAGTTCAGATGCCATGCACAGAACTGTGGCCCATGGCTAGTGAAGGCCAAAGACTGCAACTTCAGGTGTCAATAGTCCTTTTTAACACACAGAGGTCACTAGGCTGGAAGCAATGCTATCTTCGTGCCCTACTCAGCCCTACCTGATCAGAGGCTCTGTTGATAGTAGTAAAGTTAATGAAATCAGAAACTTTCTGACATGGAACAAACCATATTCGTTGTGTTAAACTACCTGACCTTCCAAAATTACCTCTTGGGAATTTTCAAACTCAAGATCTGCTTAGGACAGGAGTATTTGATGTAATAGGTTTGTTGTAACAATTTGATGGTCTAGACAATGAAAAATCAGTCTTACCAGATAAATATCATGGAAAGAAAAGATGACTGAGCTGTATAGCCAGTATATGGCACTGAATACAAGTGACAGCAAGGGCAGAGTGGGAGGGAAATAAGAGCTGAAAGCATAATAAAGGAGTAAACAATGACAGCAGTCAATCTCCTACTATTCTCTTTCTATGCACTCACCTCTTTTTACTGAGTGGGTGATTGTCTGGGCACTCCAGAGCAACATGCTTTAAAAAAAAAAAGAGACTAAACTGTCATAGTTCTGGCCAAAGGGTGCTGATGTTGCCTGTAAACCCTAGAATTTCTAGAAAGTTTTCAGGAGATGACTATACAATATACATAGAAATGGGGAGGAAAACAAAGTAAAAACCAGCTAAACAGCAACAAAACACCTGACAAAAATAGCAATAAGAAAAAATGACCAAAAAACCCTCCAATAAAGCCAAAACAACAAAAAAAAGCTGAGATATGGTTTTGGAGGGTCTTTCAGCATGGATTACTTCACCTGGCAGAGGTGTGGGAAACCCTGAATGGTTTTACAACAGGGGATAGAACCTTATCAGACTGCAGCTAGGACAGGTGCAGAACTGATGAAGGCCACATCAATAGTTCCACTTGATGGAGAGGCATGCTGGCCTGTGGGAAACATCACAGAGGCCTTCCACATGAGACAGAGGGGCAGATACCCACATCTACATGGTCCAAAACAGAACAGTGGGAATAACAATTTTATTGTGTGGTCGTTTACAGCCAGCACAGAACAATCAACATCTGGCTTATGAACTGTGTGCTCAATTTCCTAGCTTTCTGAAAAGTAGCTCTGAGACCAGACACACAGGACCTGCTGAGCACTTCTCTGATACCTGATCTTTGGACGCTTGGCATTTCTGCCACACTTGGAATATATCAGATTCAAGGACATGCATTTGCCCCACTCTTACACTCACTACAAGGCATTTGCTTTGGCCACAGCTGATAAGAACACAGGCTAGATGGGCTCTTGCTCTGATCCAATGCTGAATTTTTTTATCTTCTCCTGAACATATTCTGGAACATCTGTCCATCTGTCACAAATCATTAGGTGGCTCGGTTGCAGGAGTGACCAGGACTCTTTTTTTATTAATCTATGGCCCCTAAGGCAGCATAACACTCTTTTTTTGCTTTTTCAAAGTCACAGTCCAGCTCAGCAAATAATTGTCAGCCCCTCTCCCTGTCACTACCCCAGGTGATGTTTTATCAGTAGTGGAGGCTCTTTGCCTAGAAATTCCCTTGAAAAAAGTAGGTTACTGCCTTTTATGGGTTTTCATGTATAATAAAAAAGTTTTTTCTTTTCTTTCAATCTGCCAACACTCAGTAAAGACTTTTGACATGTGAAGATACAAGGGAACTTAATTGCACACTTGGTTCTGACACTTTCCTTTGTCAAAATACAAGAACTTTTAAGATGAACTTTTTCAACAGGTAGAAAGTAGAGGTTGGAGGAAGGAGAGAAGAGCAATGCTGACAGGGCCGACTGGGGATAGTAGTTTGTTTAGAAGCCAAAATGACTGACTGTTTTCAGCTGTTGAAAGGAACTGTTTTTCCTCTAAGGACCTGATTCATTAAAACTGTATGCTGCATTTACATACATTTCTGCTGAATGCCTCACTTTGCCTGAAAGGCTAAGACAGTGCAGTCTTTTCAAGCAGTCAGTGTCTAGGTCCATACAGATGACAAGTGTTTACAGACATCAGGCTTGGATGAGGTCCAGCAGCACAGTGGGAAATAGTTTTCTGCATGCCCCTTCCTGCTAGCCAGAAGAGAGCTGTGATATCCAAAGTCTATGGCCATAACTTACGGAACAACCGTGATATAACTAAGGATAAAGAACAGGTTAGTGTAGTTTCCTTGCTTGTGACTGGGCAATGGAGAACCTTTAAATACCAAGATGCTGATTCTACCCACTTCCATTATGCCTCTATCCCAAAGGACAACAATTACAAGGTGATAATGAAGAGCCTGAACTTTATATAGGACCTGACGTATAAAGAGTCTTCTAAGAGAAATCGTATCTCTCAGAGATGCTCTTTAGTGTTAGAAATTGGCCCCAGGCACAATGATTACATCTGTGCTAGCCAAGTAAGTCATGCAGACACTGAGTCATAAGATTGCAACTGTCCATATTATTAAAATGTTAGAATGGCTCCTTGAACTCTTTCAAATATCTTCTGGTCTTGTTCTGTGAGATAGCTCATTCCCATTCTCAGAAAGTCACCCTTTTTAGGAAGCTAGAAGATTATAACCACACAGACCTTATCAGATTTGCATGAGGGTATCAGAATGACCCCTGGCACTGCTTGCTTTATTTGGCAGCACTATTTACTGAGCTACATGAGGTCACTGTCACCAGTATTAGGTCAGCAAAACTGAGTATCAGGCTAGTGTCAGGCAAACCCAGCTGAGTGTCCTGATTGTCTGATGGGCATCATGCCCTCCTGACCACACATAAAGTATCTAATTTCCAGTACAGTCAATGGAGAATGCTGTGTTGGTTTGTAGAAGTTCTGAGAGAGAAACATAGACACTTTAAAAAAATTATTATTTTATTTTTCTTTTATTTTTTAATTCATTGTATCATAAACTCATTGAAAGTAAGTGGTGTCTCTACACCCACAGTCCATGTATGGTATGCACTACATGGAACCAATTTGGTTTCTTTAGAAAACAAAACAAAACACAACACAACACCTTGGTAGAACATCCCTAGACTAATTTGCAAACTAACCCAAAACAACAATATGGCAAGAATGAGAAGGCTTTTTTTTCAGGTCTTTCTTTCTCTTAGATTGTATATCCTGTTAAAATGCTTTTAACCCCCAGGTGCTGAGGCATCCTGAAAAACAGAGGGAAAGAGAAAACAGCAAAATAATCCATTACTTCCAAAGGAGTTGGGCTACTATGCTAGTGGGAGACAAGGCAAGACAGAGCCTGAGTTCCCATTGTGAGGTGCTGAGCTGGGGTCCCAGGTCCTACCTTCTGAAAGTGTGTTGCCCAGGAAACCATCATTGAGATGGAGATGATGGGATTTGCCTTGCCTGTCTGTAGTGTAGGGTCTGACAGCTGAGTGAGTCACCGAGCTCCTCCTACAGTCACCAGAAAGAAAAGAGCACTGTTAGGATGCAAGTCCTCTGGACTGCTGTAGACATCTACTTTAGGCTGCCTGATACATGGTAAAACAATTTAATGAATATTTCATTGAAAAATTTAAATTGCTGCTCCTGCAATGAATTCTCACTCTGGGCAGACCTGCAAAAGAGGTCTCAGTTGAGAGTCCATCAGTGCTTCTGCCCTAGATCCTACAAGGAAGCAGAGTATGGACAGAAATGGGAAGTAGGAGAACAAAGGTAGCATTTTCATTCACAAATCCTAGTGCTGCATTAGTCTTAGGAGATGGGGGTCAAGAAGGTAAGGACAAAATGGCCAGGATCTCTACTTGTAGATAAAGCAGTGTACATAAGCAAAAGTGGTGTATTTACACAAAGACTTCAGGCATGCTCTGCTAGTTTGCAATTTTCTCTTCCCATAAGCTTTCCTTCTAAAGTAGGCGAGCTAATCCAGACTTAATACTGCCAAACTGGATCCAATTCAGGAAAGAAATCAAGGTGTCAGCGCTAACATGGTTTGAGGGGAACTGTTCTTCTTCAAGATATTTTCTGTGTGTCTGGCACTGAGAATTTGGGGCAGGGAGGAAAGAGGATTCATTTGCCTTTAAATTCTTTAACAATGCCTCTGCCAAACATTTGTGTTATGAATGAGATTGCTCAAGATAAAGTGACAGTGTTATGGGAAAGGATTTATGAAAAGATTTACACGTCTTATTTAAGAATTTCCACTTTCCTTTTAGACAAATATGTAAAGAATTCCAAGACCTTCTAAGTCAAGACAGATCACCCCTCGGATCCTCCAGACCGACTCCAATACTAGACCTCGACATCCAGAGACATTTAACACATTTCAGGTAGGATTTGAAAAGAGGAATAATTAACTAAAATCCATCATTTTGATAAAGACTACATATGTTGTCATGATACATGCATGCCTATTCAACCTTTAGGACAAATCTATCCAAGTTACGAATAAAAGTGTATAGACAGTTTGAGATCAGAAAGATTTATTAGCCCAGTTTCCCATTTTTGCTTTAAGATGCATGTCCTAGATACAGCCCAGAGAACTTCCAAAGGGCCACTTTGAAATAGTGGGGTCATCTAAGATATTTATCAAAGACAAGTGTGAGGTAACATTACAGAGATTCTTCTGTCTTTGCTCAGACTGAAGAAGGAAATACATGACTAGCTGAGGCTACAGAATTTTCTTCCTAACCATTAGTTGGTGCCTGAAAAAATCACCATGTAAAGGACTTTTCCAAAGAGCTGGTTGCAACCCAAGCAGATTTGTTAGGCCTTTAAAACCTTAGAGCATTGTTGCATACTCTTTGGAACAACCAGCTAAGCCACTGCATTCACTGCCTGGACAGACAACTTTTGTACCCCAGCATCTTTTAGTTAAGATTTTGATAGAGTATGAAACACCTACCAGCCAGGTGGTGGTGTAGTATCGAAAGTTTAGTCTCTCAGACTTTGAATGGAACCTAAAATACCCACCATTCCACCTCTTCCATCTATCTGTTGTGGGATGGGGACATTCAAGGACAATGCCTGGTCCACAAATGTATATATGCTTACACATACCTGTGTACATCCTGTATGTATACAAACACACCTAGACAACTCCCCTTCTTTTCTCATATGCCTACACATACACATACCACCTATGTCCATGTACACTTTCCCTCATACACACACATTCCAAAATGTCTAACTACACTTGCACATCAAGGAAGACATACTTATTTATACAGGATACTCATAAAAGGATTTTAAAGTGTTACCTAGGCTTATGGAATAATAGATAATTCCCCATTACATACACACAAAGTAAATGTGATACAAGGAAGCTGATCCCTGAGGATTCCCTCTCTTAAAGAAGAAGCAACAGTCAAGATAAAATGCTGAAGGCTTCAGCTACAAAAGCTGTCAACTGGTACAGCTCCCATGCCTCTTTCCCTGCTTCACTTCAGTAGGTCGGAATACAAAGCTTCTGTAGCCAATTCCTGCATCATGCAGGACAATGTTTCATGCCTGCTGCAGGCAACAAGTGTCGGACTCAAGATGGGCACCTAGTAGAGCACAGGTCTTGATCCTACACAGATGATTCCCTGGGCACAAGTCAGATAGTCTTCTCTGTTGTCTGTGCTTGGGAAATGATGAGTACTGCCAGACCTAGAGGCTGAGCTGAGACCACATTCCTTTTCCATCTATTGTATTCTAACTCTATTCATCTACATGTAGGTGCCTCCATTTCAGTCAGGTGTGTATCTTCTGCTGTAGTCTCTGGAGACCTTGCCTGTACAGTCTGTGAAATCTACATTACAATTAAGCAGGCCTAACATAGACATCAACATTAATGTGACTTAAATCTTTCTCTAAACTCTATTGACTGAACAGTCTAGTCTAGTTCTTCACTGGAATGGGAGCTTAGCCAACCAATGTGTACTAGACACTTCCATAGTAAGTAGTTAGATCTAGTGTAAGATAAAAAATCATTTTTCCCATCCCCTAAATATGGCAGCCTTCACAGCTAGGTCATCTGAACCCCTCCTGTCACTACTTACTTTCTTGAGATTAAATATCACAGAAGGCACTTAAGTCCTTCTCAGATGCCAGAGAAGATGCAAGAATGCAACTCATCATGTTTTCCAGACCATTAAGTGTTTTCTGGGTCAAATTTCCAACACAGACTGCTTCTGACCAATCACTTGGTCCTCCAGCTTCCTCTGAGGGATGACCCTCAGACTGAACTGACCTTTGCCACAAGAAATTTGCACCTGATCTGCTGGGGATGAGAAAAGATGAAGAAATTCTTGGTCCCCCAACACACAAAGGAAGTCCATGTAACCCAGGAGCAACATGCTCACTGGTGTCTGAGGTCCAGCACAGCCTCCTGCTGGTCACAAGCACAAATATCTGCTTGTCACTGTACATGGGTTGGAAATTATTTCATAAGAAGATGTTGACAGCACCTGCCTAACATAAAGCATATACCTAACACTAAGAAGTCAAACTTTCAAAATACATTAGCCTCCACAATCCTGTTTATAGGTCCCACCTAAGATCAGATTTCTAAGCGAGCAGGTTGTCCTCTTTTATTAAAGTGAAATGAACACAGTCAACATGTATCTATATCTTTAGATAAAAAGCTTTGCAACTGCATGCCAGAGATGGGTTTGATCTTCATACAACAATCATTGTCAAATGCTCTTATGACACCTACCATAGTCAGAGTCTAAAACTGGACCATCTTAATAAGTAGCTGGTCTTGATTGTAAAGATGAAATTAATGTTATTTATGACCAAAATGCTTGAGAACTGTTGGTGCTTTAGAAATAGTTCTTGCACAGGAGACATGAGTCTGAAACAGAGACTCCATATAGTAATCACAACTTTTATGATGTGCTTTTTTCAATAATGAAATTTTCATTTTCATTTCTCTCTGTATTCCAGAACTTTGGGCTTTCACAATAAATTCTCAGTCTCTACACGAATGGGAACCAAAATAATATGTTTAGTCACCATAGGTCATAGTCTTTCACTGGAACCTCTGACAAGGTTTCATGGAAGTTTTTAGCATAGGTATAGAATGTTTTTCAGTCATAATGCTATATGAACTGGTTTTTGTTCTTGAGAAATCTCATATAGTTTCATACAGATTTAATATAACAAGAAGAGATTTAGAAATTCTGCCTTGTAAACCATAACCCAGGCAGTAAAGAAACCAGAAGATGAAAGGTTGGTATTTTATATACATACATATATATATATGTTTATGCCATATGATTCCAGAAAGTCAAAAAGATTTTTTTTTATGGCCAGAAAATTCAGAGAAATTAGAAAAATGTCTATTACCAGAATAAATTCTAAGATAACGGAAGACTTTTTGAAGACCTATAATATCTGATACCTACAGCAGAATCCAGACTTCAGTACCTTGGGATAAAAGAAAGTTTTCTTTAGGAATTAATCCCCCTGCAGCTGGCAAGTGTAGATTTATATGCTCCAGTTGCCCATGATGTTACTTTCTCAACTTTAATAATTAAGCCTAGGGCTCACAGACTGGCATGGGTCAGATTGAAGCAGTGTTTCCTGTGTCTTCTGTTTTAAATCTTCAAGCTCACACTTCTCTGAAATTTTTCCTCTGAATCCCAGTTCATCAAGATCTGTAAACATGTGTCCAACCTGAAGTGCAGGATAGTCCCCATGAAGGGATCAGAATTGCTGGATATGTTCAAATTCCAAACTCAGAGTTCATACAGAGAGTAAAAAAGGGGAAATCTTCAAAGGAGCTGCAGTGAGCCTGAAAACTGCTGAGTTTTGCACAACTTTACCAGATACAGAAAAAGGAGAGGCTTTTCTGCAGCACTGGTGCAACCATGTTGTGCAGCTGCTCTCTGAGATGCCCATCTGACCTGAATACAAAACACTCAGTATTGCTTGAAAAAGGATTTTCCAATATTGTTTGGCCATGACTAGGCTATTTTGTAGACCCTCACATTTATAGCAGCAACTACTGTGCACTGCCTGAGCCGAGGCATTATTATTATGTCTGCTTTATTCGAGATTTCTCCCTTTGCAATGAATGTTGAAGTATCTTACTGCAGAGAAGCTGAGCTGATATTAGTAAATAAAAGAAGTGCTAGGGCACAGGCAGGTATTGGCTGCCTGTGCTACATTTTAGCAGGCTCCTTGGACTTTTGTTGTCTTTTCTAACTAGTATTGTCCCAAATTATTCCTGGGCACAATGGCACAAGGGACTATTCCTGGACACAAGAACTCAGGGCAGCACTAGCCCTTATTACAGCCTAGTGAGGTGCCTTACCTGTGCTGTAAATACTGTAAGAAGTTTCTCCTGAAACTAAAACCAAACCATGGAAGTGTTTTTGCCCCTTCCTTGGAAGTGCTCAAGGCCAGGTTGGATGGGGCTTTGAGAAACCTGGTCCAGTGGGAGGTGTCCCTGCCCATACCAGGGGGTTTGGAGCTAGATGATCTCTAAGGTCCCTTCCAACTTAAACCATTCTGTGATTCTATGATTTTGGGAAGACCAACCTTGTCAGGGCTGGATCAGAAGCCACTGGCTTCATGGGCTAGGTGCTGGAGCAGCTCACATTTCTAAGCATATGCACAAGGGTGGATTCAAGAAGAGGTGATATGTTGTAGGGTTATGCAATCTGTCCTTCAGCTCTTCTTTGGTGCCTTCATGAATAATGTAGCAGAGCAAATGAAATAATCCTGTGGGCTGTATCTGTTCTGAAAGCCAGTGACCGAGGTACCCTGTTCCCAGTTAATGGAGAGTACTAGCATTAGTACTAGCACTAAGCTACAGGGAAAACAAGAAAACCCTGGGAAAATCAGTTTCATTTCTAAATGCTGAGATTTTTTTGTCTAGATGTGAGTGTCTCTTTGTTGTCCTCTAAAGGCTGATCTGTGTAAATGCATTTGTGATTCTACTATATACAGACTTGTGTCTGTAAGAATCTGTAGTGTTTGGAAAGTTCAGCTATCCAGCTGCTATGAACCATCATATAGGGGAAGATTAATACCGACCAACTACAGAAGCTGGATTTGATCCTTTAACTTCACAGTTACATTTCATTAAGATGCAAAATCACATCCAGATCATCCATCTTATATATAAAAGATAAAGACAGCAAAACTACTTCCTTGCAAGTGACACTTCTTTCAGTGCCAAAACCTTATAAGAACAGCCAAAAAATAATAGGCTGAGAATGCTAAAGCTAGATTATGAAAGCAATCAGCATCCTCACAAATTATCCTGTGCTTTGCCTAGCCACCCAGCTGATATGAAACACCCTTCCTATGAAACTGCTTGAGACAAGAGTTTTGT